TTGTTTCAAGGCGAGAGCAGCCAGTTTTTTCATTATGTATTTTTATGTAAATAAAACGTGGTGACTCATAATTTTTATTACTTTCATTTAATTGTCTATTAAACACAATTTATTTCTTTAAGCTAGCAGTTCTTTATGTGACCCAGATTCATTGCTCTCGAGTGACTTTCATATTATTTTTGCCTATAGTCTACAGAAGCTGTTTTAGGTCCATAATAATAAAGGTCGGACTAACTTAGAGAGGTTCGATCCCCAATGTGTCATCACAAGTATGAGGACGAGATTATGAAACACAATGAGCATTTATTAAAAAAAAACTATAACTAACAACTAGAAGAGATAAATAGATTTGTGTTCTCACAATTTCTGGCGCTGCGTGTCACCCTATCGTGCGCGCAATTAAAATATTACGGTGCACGTGTTTGGTATGCGCGGAACGTGGAAACTAAGCCTATACATTTTAACGACGCATATCAACTATTACTCAGTGTGATTTATTCGGGAGCTCCTTTGGCAGCCTGCTGGAAACTAGACTATGAGAATGTCAAGTAGGAACTGTTGGAAATCACAAAGAATTTTATGTGCGTACCGCCTTTGTCCTCCGCCGAGGCGTTTCGTTGGTGTAAGTTCATGTTATGGAATGTTTTCTACCTGTCTCCTCCAGTCGATAATACTGAGGTCTATGCACGAACTTTATACTCCGTAGTTGTATCTTCATCGTCAAATTTTGTTTGGAAGGAGCCAGTTTGTTCTTACGTCCGGTAGGAGCGCTGCTTAGTTTATAATAATAATAATAAAATAACTTTTATTTCTCACCACAAATGACAAAAAAGGTTTACAAAAATCTTAGGCGAATTATATAATCATGTTGTCATTCGTAGGAGACTGGTGCCCGTGTAGGTTTCATAGAAACTTTGACGATGTGATACGATTTGACGACAAAATTCGTGCTTGGGCCACAACTAAACCCTAGTTACAAAAATGTATTAAAGCGTCCGCTCTCGGTATGTCCGTCCGTCTTTCTATTAGTGGGGTACATATCTCACATTTTTCTATTGCCGCTTTAGCAAATAATAAAAATAAAATGTTGAAGCTGGTCAAATGATACTGAATCATTCGTGTGTGAGTGTTAACTTGTTCTTAATCAGTTTTGCTACTTAGCTGATCATGCATTTAATCTTGTAGATGGATGTTATAAATGCGACCTTACGACTAGCAAATGGCCATATTATCTTAGCTCTGTTGTGGATTACACTTAAACGCCAAATTAATATAATTGCTTGCGTATCAGATTTATCAGGCAATATATTTGCTCACATAATACATCGAAAGAAAACTGATCAAAACGAACAAAATATATCAAAATTGGTCTACAAATTAACAAACAAAACAATTGAGACTTCGTCCTTTTTTAATTTGGTTAAATGCATTCTTTGCGCAAAAGCGCACAATGAATCGTTTTATTAGTCATTCTTTAACTAATTATATAGATGTGCCCTCAATATCTAATCTGACGGTGTGTAGACAGGTGTCGACTTGTGTTGCAAACTGAGAGTTTGTCGTAAATATTGACTTTACTAGCTTAACTTAACTTAATTTTTTAGATAATTCCACAGGAACCTGACATTTACCAGGATAAAAACGTCTACGTCTCAACCCAGGTCATAAACTGTCTGCATACCAATTATCATTCAAATCCGTTCAGTAGTTTTTTAGTTTTTGCGTGTTTGAGAAACAAACATACAGATTTGTACATTTATAATATTTGTAGGTTGGTTTTTTGTAATCATAAGGTAACAAATTGAACTTCATTAATGCCTCCGCTGTATGTATGTTGGTTCATCTATCACTGGGCTCTACTACTTGAACAGAAAAGGGAGACATCTAAACTAAACTTGTCACAATATGATTGTGGCTGTGGCCGTTATTACAACTACACAACAGTGTTCCGACTATCGCAAATGATTCTCGTATTTGATGAGGAGAAGGTTTAGCGAAAAAGTTCGAAAAAACATGATTTTGTATGAAAGACCCTCTTATTTCAACTTCTTCTTTAACTTCAAAAAACGACAATATACACAGTCAGGTCATAAGTATTGTCACACAGTAAAAACTTTTCTTTTAGAATGCTGGCCACAAAAAGATTATTGAATTCGAATTTCGAATTGTTCATGAAAATAAAAATGTATACTTTTTAGAATTTTACTCATTTTTAATTATGGACTCGACGCTTAAAGAAGACCGTGTTGCAGTTATTGCGTTGCATCGTTGCGGTTACGCGCCAATTCTAATTTTTGACATACTGAAAAATTCTAATATAACCAAAAGTTCGTTTATCGTACCATCAAACGATACAATGAAGACTCTAGTGTAGATGACAGGTCAAGAAGTGGTCGCCCTCGGTCTGTTAGGACTCCAGCAGTGATAAAAGCTGTGAAGGCGCGAATTCAAAGACATCCCAAACGTAAGCAGAAACTTTTGGCCCTTCAAATGGGGTTAAGCAGAACCACGGTGAAAAGGGTGTTAAATGAAGACTTAGGGCTTCGGGCATATCGAAGAAAAACAGGACATCGTTTGAATGCTCGTCTAATGGACCTGAGACTGAAGAGATGCCGCGCTTTGTTGAAGCGGTACGCGGGAAAGAAATATCGGGAAAATCTTTTTTCGGATGAAAATTTTTACCGTAGAAGAGAGATACAACAAACAAAATGATAAGGTGAAGATGCGAGCAACTGTATTCCGCGTGTCCAACGAGGTCATTTTCCATCCTCGCTCATGGTATGGTTAGGAGTTTCTTATTGGGGCTTAACAGAGATACATTTTTGTGAGAAAGGTGTAAAAACGAATGCAGTTGTGTATTAAAATACAGTCCTTACGAACCTTGTGGAACCTGTTTCTCATACCATGTTCAATAACAGGCACTGGGTATTCCAAAAAGATTCGGCGCCAGCTCATAGAGCGAAGAGCACACAAACTGGTTGGCGGCGCGTGACATCGACTTCATCCGTCACGAAGACTGGCCCTCCTCCAGTCCAGATTTGAGTCCGTTAGATTACAAGATATGGTAGCACTTGGAGGAAAAGGCGTGCTCAAAGCCTCATCCCAATTTGGAGTCACTCAAGACATCCTTGATTAAGGCAGCCGCCGATATTCACATGGACCTCGTTCGTGCTGCGATAGATGACTGACCGCGCAGATTGAAGGCCTGTATTCAAAATAACGGAGGTCATTTTGAATAATCTTTATTGTCATAAGAGTCTATGTTTTGTTAAGTTAATTTTGGTATATAGATGGTTACATAATGAATAAACATGTTTCAATTATTTTATATTAAACATGTGACAGAATTTATGACCTGACTAGGTACATACTTACGTATGAGTGATGCGTGCGCTGCTCCATTCCCCTATACTTTATGCACCGCCTAAGGTTACATTATTTAAGAAAAGAAGTTTCACTTCAGATGTGTACACACATTTTTGAAGTTATACTTCTTTAGGCGCGTTATGAAAAAATGATGAGAGTGAAATTTTAAGATGCGCGCGCATCACTGTAACACAAATTAAAGGTCGCTAAAGCGACCAACTTCATGCTGTTACTTTTGCGTTTACCGCACATTAAGAAAATGTACCAACAAAATAGAAATAGAATCTCTATTTAGTGGGTGCTAACGACTGCATCTATCTATATACAAAGTTACTCTATGGACTGCATTGTGAAGGCCTATCAAAAGTATTTATTAATCTGGAACAACGGAACCAAAGCGCGATTCAGGAGACTACAGCGCCATCTCTTGACCATTGGTGTAGTAGAACCAAAAACCACATCTTTATTTTTTGTAATAAAGTAACAGTTATAGGTATTCATATTTATAATATTTATCCACATGTTTCTAGTTTGTATATTCGGAATACGTGTTTGAGTTTCATACAAGTGCAAATCACTTATGTTCTAATAAATTATATTCAGTAGCGATTTTAATTGAATATTTTGATTATTTATTTATTTTTTCAAATTAAAACTGAACTTTATTGACTGTGTCCTTTTCCAGACTTTTTATTAATTTATTGTAATAAATTATTTGCATACAATTAAAAACTAATTTTAAACGATGCCAAAGAAGGATAACTTCTCACGCGCCTACATAAGTACACGCACCCATTTTTTTTTTATTCTTATTACTTATCGTCATAGCAACAGCAGAAATATAGGTAAACTCTTTAAAGAGACTTAGGTGAAAATTTAAGCTCCCCGGCTCATGAGATACGGACAGCGGAGCTTTTTTGCAGAAGATTTTGTATCATTTGTTTACTTAATACTACAAAGTTCAGTGTTTTCAACACCTCGTTTATTCGGCGTGTGTGAATAATGCGACCGAGCGACCGTCGTCATGTCTGAAGTAAATGGTAATACCGAAACGGCTGCGTTTAGTATGGCGTAGTCCGGCCATCTTGGTTCGAATGCATGTGGGTCGCACGCTGCCTACGTCAAGCACGAGACTTCGGCCTGTAGGGCTGACGGTTTTTGACGTGTAACATCTTTCCTCTCGCTTTCCTGCAATTTGTGGGAGTGATTTCGTGAAATGGGACGGAAGTGTGTAACAGGAAGTCCCGAAAGCGCGCGCTATTTGATTTGATTTTAGAACATAATGTTCAAATGGCTTATTCCTTTTCTAGTAGGCTTTATTTCTTTTTTTAAGTAATATAAGGTGAGGTTTCAAATGTTATCACATCATACGCGACTACTGTAAGTGCCTTTACACACGTACCGGTTGCCAGGTAGCCGGTGCCGGGTAACCGGCGGCGCAGTGTATGGCTATGTACTTTATCTTTCACACGTACCGGCGTAATTTGCCCGGCAAGCGGTTGCCGGGTGCGCGCCGGATCCACCACTGTGCGTCCGGTCGCCGGGCATCGGTTAGCCGGGGCGGCCGAACTGACAGTGGTGTATGGAACATGCAACTAGCTTTCAGACGCGCCGGCCGGCCGGTCGCCCAGGTACAGTCTGCGAGTGCACGCGCATGCGTAGGTAGTTCTGTCGCACGCTCGACTCGTAATTATACATATCTACATACCTTCTTCTAATCTATAATGGAGATAGATATCGAACTATTGATAACTTTGGTGGAAGCGAAGCCAGTTTTATGGGACAAAACTTGCGCTGAGTACAAGGACAAAAATGAAACAAAAAAAGCTTGGCGGGAGGTTTGCGCAATACTTAAACCCGACTTCGAAGAAATTACTGACGGCGAAAAAAACTCATTTGGTAAGGTAGCGAATCATTTAATATTATACAACTGATAGTTATAACACTTTTATATTTTAGATAACTGCCAACTGACTTGTTCAGGTTCGGTCATAAAATAGTGCGCTAAAATATTTCTAACATTATTTGCTGCTAGCCCTCCACGTCTTACTTGTTCTGCACTTAAATCTTCTAATCCACATATGGTCAATGTATCCTCTGGTTGATATCCATCTCTAACGCGGACAAAATTGTGGAGGATTACACAAGCCTTGACAATATCGACTGCGAAGTCGGGTTCCAAATTAATGGCACGATGTAATATTCTCCACTTATTAGTGAGAATTCCAAATGTGCATTCCACATACCTTCGAGCTCTGCATAAACGATAATTATAAATGCGTTGTTTCATGGTTAAATTCGATCCACCATATGGCCTAAGCAGATGTTTGTGTATAGCGAATGCTTCGTCATCAACAAAGAAATAAGGCATATTAGGGCTCGTTGTTCCCGTGAGACAATTTTCCTTCGGTAGCTCGAGTTCACTATTTAAAATTGATGACCACAATGAACATTTCTTGAAAATGTGAGAGTCACAGTCTTTTCCGTAGCTACCAATATCAACATATGTAAAGCAGTACTCCGAATCTGCTACAGCCATTAATACTACTGAAGCATAGCCTTTATATTATGGTACATCGACCCAAGAGGATTGATAATTCGTATGTGCTTCCCGTCAACTGCACCTAAGCAAATGGAGAAAGTTGGCCCTTTGTTCAAATTTTAAGGCAATCAATTTCCACATTTCTTTTCTAGGTATAGGCATACATTCAGATTTCATAATAGACCACATAGCTTGGCACACTTCTTTTACTATAATGCTTATGGTTGAGATGCCAAGTCTGTACTGGAAACTCATATCTGTAAAAGTATGACCACTTGCTAGGTATATGAAACAATATAATTAAAATTATTTTTATTATTACAGGTAAAGAAGTGATAAAGCGGTGGGGAAACGTTTGTGATTCATTTAAAAAATCTTGTTAAAAACAAAAGGACGTTACCAAATCAGGTGCTGGTGTTTCAAATGTTAAAAAAATATGTTTTCAATGATCAGCTACAATTTCTCAACAAAGTTTTTAAGGAACGTCCCACTTCTGATAGTCTGACACAGGAAACAGAAGATCCTCAAACAATGGAAGGAGATACACCAGAGATTGAAAACAAAAAAGAACAATTGGAAAAAATTAAAATACCTAATATAGAACTGGGATCTCGAAAACGGCAAGCAAATGTGGATCCAATAGAATTGAAAATGTTGAAAAAAATGGAAGAAGAACCAGATAGACATTTGTGTTTTTTCAAAGGAATTATTCCATCCCTAAAATCTTTTACTGACGATGAAGTTATACAATTCCAGTTGGGAGTAATGGAATTAATGACGAAAATTAAAAAACAGAGATGCTCGATACAGTACCACAGAATGTACCACCCTGATACGACTCATTCGCAACCAATACATCAAACATTTCGTCCCCAGTTGCCTGTTTCATTTCAAAACATACCTCCACAATCTCAGTTTTCACACCAAACTTTTGTTCCACCATCAACACTACCGTACCAAAAATATGTAAAAATATGTTGTAACAAAATAATTATTTTTTCAATAAACATAAAAAAATATTTTATTTTTACTTACCGAATTATAACGGCTAACATCTCGACAGGCTGAATGCAGTTTCTCATTTTTGTATCCTGACGTTGCAAAGTGTTTTTGAAACGGTTATGTAATTCGTCAAACGAAGTCATAGACATTGTAAAGTACTTGAAAAACCTGTCTTCATGTGCTCCTAGATCTGGGAATTATGTATAGAATGCACCTAATTCTTCTATTTTCATATTAATTGGATGAACCCAATACTTTTTTGATTTTTCTTTTCGGCTCAGATATTTTCGTCTTCCATATAAAAGCCACATTGCAATTATTTGTTCACGGTCCATCTTTGAAAGTATCAACGAGACTGTACTCTTGTCGGCTCTCTAGCCGATACTGCTGGCATCAACCGGGATATGTGAAAGCTCATTTGACACCGGGTACCCGGCGCCGACTACCCGGTAAACGGGACATGTGAAAAGGGCCTAAGGCTCGCTGGTTTTCTTATTTCTTAAGAAATTGGTCATAGAAAAAAAGAAAAATCTCTCTTTAACGGAAATATAACTATTAAGTTTGAAAGAGATTTCCCTTTTTTTAAATAAGATATGCAAAACTATTGTTACCATGACTAAAAATCATTTAATTAATTATCAATGTTCAAGGTATTAACTTTGTCAATTACGCTTATTACTAAGGCGGTATATCTCATCTTTGATGTTCTACTAAACTGCGTTTACTTCACTATGTTTCGTATAGCGATATCTCTAATTTCTTAATTTAGGATTGGATTAGCGGCACCTCCGTTTTGTAAATAAATTGGCTGTTAATTAAATGACTAATGAATCTAGTTGGCTGTCTCTTCCTTTAATGGCTTGAACTGAATGATAACTATTCTCCTACCACGCTCTGGCAACTCCACCATACTGCAAAACAACATCATCAGCATATTAATGTCCCCACTGCTGGGGAACACGCCTTCCCTACGGATGGAATAGGGAGAGTGAATCATGACCCGTAACGCGGGCCCAGTGCGGATTGGTGAGTGCTAACAACTGTAGAAGCAGCCGGGACCAACGGCTTAACGTGCCTTCCGAAGCACGGAGGAGCTCAAGATAGTAAATTTTTGGTCACGACCGACCACTGTGAAAGTTGCTTAACTTCAACGATGGCAGCCGAACGCGTTAACCACTATAACCACGCGTTCCAATTTTATTTCAAATATTAAAAAATAATATTTGAAATAAAATTGGAAACCCTAGCTCGATGTGCTAACTAATACATCGGAGAGGTATCCTTTATAAGTTAAACCTAGTAAACATCATTAGCAGATAGGACCGCACAGTATTTTAACTTTCAAATCACTTTAATTAGCATCACATTTAGTTAATATACTTAACTTTAAAATGAACGTCATACAAAATGCATAATGTTTTTTTTTAATATATCCAAATAGAAAATTAACGGGGGGTTACTATTCAATTACCATTCCCTGTCCTGAATTATTACTTTCGGTTTCCTTGCATGTCCACGGAGGATTTTCTTAATATTTTGTAGTTTTTCATGAAAAAAAGTGTAAACTCTTGGACAAAAATTGTACTTTTCTAGTTCGATGTTCCGGCATACCCAAAGTGGTCATCGGTGTTATTTGGCACGAAAACGCAAGATTTGAGGATAATGTGGTCAATTTAAGGTTATTAAGAGTTAAAAAAAAAAATGGTTGCCTGTAAAGTCGGTTTTACGGGCGAAGATTTTACGTGACAACGTCTTTTTCTCGGTAGAATATTTATTGATATGAATATAATTAAATTGCACAATAGGAACAAGGAATTGAATGAAAATAAGAATTGCACAAATTTTAACTATAGAAATATATTTTGTTTACTAAAACATTGTACATGTAAACTTAAACTTAACACGAGAGACTCATCGTAACGTTACCGAGCGTTACACTTTTTCATAAGTGACTCCCAGCCGCAACCTAATTTAAGACGTTGTCACGTCAAAAAATAAGAAATAAATGTACTTATTCAACTTTACAAGTCAAATTACAGACGAATTGAGCGGTTTTAGCAACATTATTCAATCTCAGTTCTTTTGCTAGGTTTAATTGGCTTCTAATGATATGTTTAACTCGCAGAATTCACTATTAGGTACCTACATAGTTTCACCAGTTTCACATTAGCGAGGACCGATGATCTTCTACAGTTTTATCCTACGGAAAAACAGGAAAGAAAACCTTTTTTCTTGAATATGTACCACAAAGAAAATAAGAAAATCCTCCGTGGTCATGCCAGGAAACAGAAAGTGAATTATGCATTAAAGATTAGGAGAATATTAATTTCTAGCTGTGAGAGATGATGACAAATAAGAGAATTACTAAAAAGATACCTAAATATGTATACCGATATACGACGTGATTGTTTCTCATTTTTGTATCCTGACGTTGCAAAGTGTTTTTGAAACGGTTATGTAATTCGTCAAACGAAGTCATAGACATTGTAAAGTACTTGAAAAACCTGTCTTCATGTGCTCCTAGATCTGGGAATTATGTATAGAATGCACCTAATTCTTCTATTTTCATATTAATTGGATGAACCCAATACTTTCTTGATTTTTCTTTTCGGCTCAGATATTTTCGTCTTCCATATAAAAGCCACATTGCAATTATTTGTTCACGGTCCATCTTTGAAAGTATCAACGAGACTGTACTCTTGTCGGCTCTCTAGCCGATACTGCTGGCATCAACCGGGATATGTGAAAGCTCATTTGACACCGGGTACCCGGCGCCGACTACCCGGTAAACGGGACATGTGAAAAGGGCCTAAGGCTCGCTGGTTTTTTTATTTCTTAAGAAATTGGTCATAGAAAAAAAGAAAAATCTCTCTTTAACGGAAATATAACTATTAAGTTTGAAAGAGATTTCCCTTTTTTTAAATAAGATATGCAAAACTATTGTTACCATGACTAAAAATCATTTAATTAATTATCAATGTTCAAGGTATTAACTTTGTCAATTACGCTTATTACTAAGGCGGTATATCTCATCTTTGATGTTCTACTAAACTGCGTTTACTTCACTATGTTTCGTATAGCGATATCTCTAATTTCTTAATTTAGGATTGGATTAGCGGCACCTCCGTTTTGTAAATAAATTGGCTGTTAATTAAATGACTAATGAATCTAGTTGGCTGTCTCTTCCTTTAATGGCTTGAACTGAATGATAACTATTCTCCTACCACGCTCTGGCAACTCCACCATACTGCAAAACAACATCATCAGCATATTAATGTCCCCACTGCTGGGGCACACGCCTTCCCTACGGATGGAATAGGGAGAGTGAATCATGACCCGTAACGCGGGCCCAGTGCGGATTGGTGAGTGCTAACAACTGTAGAAGCAGCCGGGACCAACGGCTTAACGTGCCTTCCGAAGCACGGAGGAGCTCAAGATAGTAAATTTTTGGTCACGACCGACCACTGTGAAAGTTGCTTAACTTCAACGATGGCAGCCGAACGCGTTAACCACTATAACCACGCGTTCCAATTTTATTTCAAATATTAAAAAATAATATTTGAAATAAAATTGGAAACCCTAGCTCGATGTGCTAACTAATACATCGGAGAGGTATCCTTTATAAGTTAAACCTAGTAAACATCATTAGCAGATAGGACCGCACAGTATTTTAACTTTCAAATCACTTTAATTAGCATCACATTTAGTTAATATACTTAACTTTAAAATGAACGTCATACAAAATGCATAATGTTTTTTTTTAATATATCCAAATAGAAAATTAACGGGGGGTTACTATTCAATTACCATTCCCTGTCCTGAATTATTACTTTCGGTTTCCTTGCATGTCCACGGAGGATTTTCTTAATATTTTGTAGTTTTTCATGAAAAAAAGTGTAAACTCTTGGACAAAAATTGTACTTTTCTAGTTTCGATGTTCCGGCATACCCAAAGTGGTCATCGGTGTTATTTGGCACGAAAACGCAAGATTTGAGGATAATGTGGTCAATTTAAGGTTATTAAGAGTTAAAAAAAAATAAGAAATAAATGTACTTATTCAACTTTACAAGTCAAATTACAGACGAATTGAGCGGTTTTAGCAACATTATTCAATCTCAGTTCTTTTGCTAGGTTTAATTGGCTTCTAATGATATGTTTAACTCGCAGAATCCACTATTAGGTACCTACATAGTTTCACCAGTTTCACATTAGCGAGGACCGATGATCTTCTACAGTTTTATCCTACGGAAAAACAGGAAAGAAAACCTTTTTTCTTGAATATGTACCACAAAGAAAATAAGAAAATCCTCCGTGGTCATGCCAGGAAACAGAAAGTGAATTATGCATTAAAGATTAGGAGAATATTAATTTCTAGCTGTGAGAGATGATGACAAATAAGAGAATTACTAAAAAGATACCTAAATATGTATACCGATATACGACGTGATTGTCGAAGGATGTAGAAGCCTTAAAAGACCAAGACAAACCTAGCACGATCAAATTGATCGCATTCTGAAGGTAAGTGACGGACCCGGGCGTAAAGAATGATGAAAAGAATGGCCTTCCTCCTGAATAATCTAAAAACAGAATAATCACTCAATGAAAATGAAGTGATCTCACTTCATTTTATTTTAATTGTGTTTTTATGAATCGGAACTTTATTTACTTTATAGCGTAATTTGACAATTTTTTTCACGAAGGTTGTTATAACAACAAACAAACACAACAAAATCATTTAGTCTCTATCGAATTTAGTTTTCTGTAAATGAATAAACGTCTATAGTTACTTCAAGATATTGCGGCATTTTGTCATGTAACAATTTCGAATTATAAATATTTAAATGGAACTTTCCAAGCTCGTCCGTGACATTTTATTTGACTAGGTAAATAAATCATTACAATTTATTAAAAAAATCTATTCATAATTTTCTATGTATCTAGCAAATACTACTTAGAACTTAAATTGTTGAGCAGTCCCGAGCGTTTCAGCAAAAGCCTAGCAACTAAAAGTACAGTTTTAATGGTAGGTACGTAATAGGTTTCGAACTCCATTAAGGAAAGATATTTTGCGATTTATTCTTACAAATATCTAATGGAGGTTTCCTATGAAATTGTTCTCTAGACAATTGGCAAAAATATCTGTAATGTTAACATACTAACACCATATTAACTTCATCACCATCAAACATGAGAGAATCAAAGTGACCT